GTGCATCCCTTTTCCGTTTCCCTCATCATACACCCACTCTCCTTGTCAACCACCACAAACGACGGGCGCCGAGTAATATCCGACCGCCAGGGGTATTTTGGCGACCGCCTTTCCGAACTTTTATCTTTTGCAGTTCCGTTCCTTTCTTCGCTCGCTGCACGAAAAGTCCTGCACTACGAGCGCCGCCGTCTCCAGAATCCAAAATATGGCAGCAGACGGAGACTACACGTTTAAGGAATTAGGAAAGACGTCATGATTCGTCCTGCACTCGTATAAAGTGCTCGACCTTTGGAGACATGAACATCCCGGCAAGGAAATATCATGGAAAGACTACATGGCATGGGTGTTGTCTTCACATTTCTCCGCACAGACGACCCCACGGCCCATTCAAGTACTGCTTCAGTCCTTGTCTGGAAACGTCCTGCTGTATACTCATACGAAGGAGTCATGTACGGACATGCTGGATTCGCGATCTAATGCAAGATCGTTTCGCGTGTGTAAGAGCACGTTTGCGACAAGAGGAACTGATGGACGTGTTCGTGCTCTTATCGAGCATGTCCTGAATTCACACCTTCCTATGAGAGTTATGGCGTTGATCTGCCCTTCATTCACGTTCATCGGAGAGAGCAAGACTCGTCGCAAGTCAAGTCCTTTCCCGACTACTGAAGCAACCCCCTTTCAACAGCTGCTACACGTCTCAGCCGTGGTCAAGCTCATGGCAATTGTCAATAACAGCAGGCCGACTAAACGACGACGTCTGAACGCAACGCCAGATGAGGCTGTCAAAGTTCTCTCTGTACAAGGTCTAACCGATTTGCGTGACCCACTTCCGCAGAAGATTGGCTACATCATCGAGACTGTTGTCGGTGCTTGGAATTGCTTTGCAGAGTACCTCGGATTTCAAAGCTTGGAAAGGATGAGTGCACCCTACTTGAGATTGGTATCTCCCTTGGCGCAGTTTGAAGTGATTCCAACCCGAGAAGAAGGGTTTGCACCACTGTCTACGCTGGTCAAGTTTGTTGAAGGTATGCCGGCAACAAACGATCGAACGAAGACCTTTACCGATGCCTTCGATCGGCCTGCAATCGTCGACAGCAACCTTCGCAAGTTTGTGGGAGACTTTTTTCAAGATTTGGAACGCGCGTTATTGTCAAGTGATCTCTACTCTGCTAAAGAAGTCAAGGAAATGTTCTTTCTGACCAAGTACGTTCGACGCAGGGACATCCTCCCCCCGAGATTCCGATCCTACTGTGCGGCATTGGTGAGACAGGTCAAATCCTATGCGAGTGAAATCGCTTCCTCAGCGGCTCTTCCCGGTGATCCTTTTCCTCCTCCTTCGCCAGGTGCAACAACGAATCTGGCTTCTGCTTCTAGTCAGGTCGTATGTGCACGGCACGTTCTTCAAGTGGTGGGGGAGGCTGAATCCACTTCAACTGCGTCGGATGAAGCCTCTCTGGAAGCTTTGAATGAAGGAGAGGACGTGCACAACGAGCGGATCGTTTTCTCTGAGATGAGGAAAGCAGCCGTGAGGATGTACAACTGCGACTTTGAATCTTTCATTGAAGCGTACGATGCCCTGACCGAAGACGAAGAGCTGCATGGAAAAGTTCAGCTTGTCCTGACGGACCCTCCTTTCAATGTCCGAAGGGACAGGGGACGCAACCATGCTGATTACGATGAAATCCGGAAAGAACAGTATGAGTCTTTCGTTAACTGCGTCGACGAGATGCTTCGTCCAGGAGGGCATGCGCTGATATTCTGCTCCGCTCAGCAATTCACTATATGGAGAGAAGCATTCACCGCCCATCCTACGACGTCTGGAGACTCATCATCATCGTCTCAAGCAAGCCAGCCCACATTTTGGGTTGCGTCCACTCCGCTGTACTGCATATACCATCCATCTGTATGCAATGGGTTCCCTGGACGCGCGACGTTTGCGCTGTCCAACATGGCAGAAGTGGTCATCCATGTGATGAAGAAGGGTCCACCGTTCAAGGAAGGGAGGCTCATGGTGAACTACAAGTGTTTCAACTACGTTCCCTCCGAGTACCCTGCGACTCGCAATGTCATTAACAATGTCATGGGCCTCGTTCCGGGAGAACGGCACATGGTCAAGATCGGAGATACCTCTCGCATGCTAAGGCCAGAGCAGAAATGCGTGTCCCTTTTGAAAGAGCTCATCTGTCGTTTCTCCCAGGCAGGAGACATTGTTGTGGACCCGTTTGCCGGAACATTTTCAACGGCTATCGCATGTTTCAATCTGGACAAGGATAATGGAGCAAGGAGATTTATTGGTTGCGAAAAAGAAGCTGTGTGCTTCGAGCACGCCAAGAAGAAGGTCATTGAGAGCTACGCGGGGGCTATTGTGAACAAGCTGGTGGACGTAGGTCAGGTCATGACGGACGACGACATCCATGGTGCAGCTCTGTATGTGCACAACAGGAATGGAAATAGAAGAAGCAGGAATGGGAAGTGGGCACCTCCGTCGGGCCTATCTCCCTACCAGACTTTTCCAGATCACATTCTAGCCTATCTTTCAACGGCCTGGGAAAGCCCTGAGTTGATTCAGAAATGTCGCAATGTTCCGCTCAACGCTTGGAAACGCGAACTACAACGTCGTTTTCATCAGACAGACGTCCACGCCCTCCGAGCGATAGAGGCAGTTCAATTCGGCGTAGCGTTGGCGCCCTCTTCTGTTCGGCATCCGAAGGCGGGACTCGGGCTTTTTGCTACAAGAACATTCGACGTTGACGACGACATCTGCCTCTACTACGGCACTTTGGTCTATCATGACCTTATTCGGTCTAAATCGAAGAACAAGCCATACGGAGAAGGGCTTATGGGAGTGGACCGCGAACGCTTCATGACCTATGCCATGCTGGTGCCAACGCAGGGACGAGTTTTTCAGAATGTGACGGACCTTATCGATGGACAAAAGGCCATTTCAATCGTCCCTTCCAGATTTTGCGTCGGGGCTTTCATTAACGACCACCGCTATCACCCAGATGATAAGGATCACAAAGATTTTGTTGACGGTCGTCTCGCCAATCCGAGAAACGTCAACGTTGCATATGATCTGTCGGTGTCAAAAGTGACCTCGACGTCTGCGTTGCAGAAACACACGCTGATGCGCGTCAAGGCATTGAGGTTTATCAATCCTGGAGAGGAACTGTTTGCCGACTACATTAGAGATATTTTCATAGAGTACGGGACTGTTGGACTCCATTCACAATAAATTTTGTGACCGCATCTTCCTTGTCACGGAGAGGATAGAGGACAGAGGACAGAGGATAGAGAACAGAGGACAGAGGAGAGAGAAGAGAGAAGAGAGAAGAGAGGGAGGGACTAGTTTGCCTGTTGCGCCTTGAGTAATCTTCCTATTGAGAGTTTATTGAGTATAATGGGAGTTTTGCTTTTTAGCGTTTTGCTATTTAGCGTTGAAGGGATATGGATCGGTGGGGGGTGGCTTTGGGTATGATGTACTGTATGTAAGCCGCACTGAGCGTGCGGTAAGTGGTTAAAAGTGGACATATAAAAGTATGGCAAAACGGTGCTGGTTCTCGAAAAGTAATGGCAATGCAGGCGGCAATGCTTCGCAATGGAAAACGGTGGTTTTATAATGTATAATGGCGGAGGGAGAACATACCTGACCTGAAACGGCAAATGATGTATACTGCAGAAGCGAATGGCCAAGGTAGGGCGCTGTCGGGTGCGACACACTCGTAAGGATGGGTATCGACGGCGGTGGTGAATGTCCGACGACGACGGGAATATTCTTACATACATTTCGCAACAAAATGCCGAAATATTCGCCTCTTCGTATTGTCACCGCCAAGTTTGGTGTACCGATTACCGATGAAGTCCGAGAATGGACCGCAGCCGCCAATTAATTTCGCTATGTGTATCGTTTCGAAAAAATAGGAGTTGAAATGGACTGTTTACAATGAAAATCCAGGATGTGTGACACCGAGTTCCATTAAATTTGTGATGTGTACTGCTATCCCAGAAATATGGTGTGCTGACGACCGAAAAAGACTATAATGTAAATTGTGTACAGTGATTCGCTTTCATGTTGTGAGGATTACGTTGACTCATTGCCATTGCATGAAATATGCGGACCTCCTGCTAATACGATTTGACATATCCACCACTTTTTCTTATATTCTTGATGTCATAACAATGAAAGTCCTTAATCTCTCTTCGTATTCTACCAAATGATATGAAGGATGTCATGTGTGCCACCATTTCCCAAATGTCGCAACATTAAATTGTCACCGCATCTTATGTCAAAAGGGAGACCGAAATACATTTGAGATCTGTGACAAATCACGAGACCCATAGGCGAGCGAATGTCAATGAAACAGGTAGAGAACCTCAAATAGGCCTACATGTCGAGGAGAATATAAAAAATATATTATAGGAAGTTGGGAAAGGAAGACACCTCTGTGTGACGGTCGTATCCTGCCGAAAAGTACAGTACAGTACGGTACAGTGAACAGCACTGTATGATATTGTTCCGATGTGACATGGGCGTGACCCTTCTTACAGGTGGCTGTCCACTCACCTCCGTGGCAGGCTCCCACACTAATTTAGCCCGGGATCAACCTTGCAGCAGCACCACCAAAGCATTCAGCGTTAGGCATTTGGATCCGTCCCTAGCCTGGCGAGCGCAGGGCATCCTAAAGGGCGTTACAGAAAGTTTCCTAGACCAGCAAGGAGACCAGCAATTTGTTATTAGAGATATGTAACGGCAGAAACATGTAGCATTGCATTCCATACGTTTTGATCATTCTCTAACTGTAACGGCAGTATTTTTGCAGGTTATGCATCGACAGCAGGAGAGATAGTTCCATGCTCGACTATTGCGATAATTATGTAAACTTCACCCTCCGCCATTCTTCCTGCCCTAAATACAAGGTTCTCGTAGTCCCTGACCCCTCTCATTTCCTCTTCCCACTTCTTCCTCTCTACAAAGTTCTGTCTGTCGTCCGTTGCGCATCATGAATGGCCCTACAGTTGTATACAATGAGCAACTCGATCTCCCATTTTGCGTACGGTGCAAACACGCAGTCGAATTTGATGGTGTAGTGAAGCATATGAAGAGAAACCATTTAATTTCGCATGCAAGCAGCATTCAGATTGCTGGCGAGATTGGAGACGCCCGAAGCCTGTCTCCCATTGTTAATGCATCGGCTGCTGAGATGAGACACAAATACTTGGCAACGACTGTGGTTGAATATCGTTCCGGACCTGCCCTTCCGCCTCTGGAAGGGTTTCCCACGGCACTGTGTCACAAGTGCCCCGACTGCGGATATCTGGCACGGAAAGGCGCTTCCGTTCGTCGAAATTGTGCTGCGAGTAAAGCGTGCAAGGGACATTTATCTTGTCAGCTCGATGAGGTGAAGGGACAGGCCATCTTTGGCGGAAACAAGTGCAGATACTATCAAGTCGTAGAAAACGGCGGTGACCTCTTTTCCGATGTCCTCGCAGAATCCATGAGGAAACTGCAGGGAGCCACTCCGGCGAGTACTGCCATCAACGAGGCCGGAATTTCAGAGATGAGCGCATTACTTTCAGTTTTTCGCTTCGACACTCACTTAAAGCGTTGTGGGCTTAAACTTTCTGAAGCCAGCTCCCTGTGCAAGAGTACTGACAGCCGTATACGCACACTTTCACGCGAGGTGGTCACAGCGTACCACAAGCAGGCCTTCGACATAACCGAACAGAAGGTTTGGATCAAGTCACACACGTTTATGGAGTCGGACCTCAACATTGCTGTTACTCGGAAAACTGTGGAGCACTATGACAACAGAATGGTCCAAGTACTGGAATTCGTCTTCAACTTGATGTCTTCCAGCAGGCAGTTGTATCAATATATACCTCCCGATGCCATTCGGAGTGCAGAATCTCTGCGAGCAGATTCCAATGCACCAGTGGCATCCAAGTTGCGAAACTTCCATGATATCCTACAGAACCTCCTTTTTCGTCACAACGAAAGCAACGAACTAATCGCCTTGTTCATCTCATGCTACAGTGTCATTCTCGATCGCTCAAACGAGTACCAATTTGCGACCGCCTGCGAATTGACTCCCATTCTCGCAGCCGTGAAGCACTTTGCTCGCTGCCTAGTCGTGATGGAAATATATCTCTACAGCTCTAGCGACACTACCGAGTCTTAGGAGCGAGTCTTGAAACTGAATCACCCGCATGTGGATAATGGCCTTCAATATGTGCAGTACTGCATGAAAGTCTGTAATCGCATCAAGGTTGGGGAAGTACATAATATTCGCTTTCTAATCTGTCCGACGCATCCGAGATGCGCAATTATTGATGGAATCGAGCTTTCTTTATCGCAACTTGGATTGAAAATGAAGCAATTGCAGAAAATTTCATTGGGACTGATGCAAGAAAAACTGCTCAATGGACTCAGGATTACAGATGCATTCTGGTCGTCCGTTCAAAACCTGGACGACACAATGACAGATCAAACTCCTGGCTACTGGTTTGGAATGCACAAGGCAAACCAACATCATCTTTTTCATTGGTCTCAGGCCTTACAAGGCAAACTGAAGCCCTTACTCCTGGAATCAGACACATCCCTGAACGAAGACAAAGCCAGAGCATATCTACAAGATTGCGAAAGTCTACAAGAACATATATATACGCTCTTGCAGGTATGCTCAGGAGAACCGGCAAGGGCATCCGAGTTGGGGATTTTGCGGGTTTGCAATACGGCAGTAGGACAGCGGAACATCTTCACTCAAGCAGTACTCGTGTTTACTGTCATTACGTATCACAAGGGTCGCAATGTGCACGATGGTGTCGGCCGTCCCATTGCGCGATATCCTGATGCTGTTACTGCGGGTATCTTGCTCATCTACTTAACAGTTATTGGCCCTGTCGAATATGCCCTCGTCGACCTCCTCGCGAAACCCAATGAGGTCCCAGAAGGTTCATCTGTCAGAAAATTTGACCACGTTCATGTGGACAGTGCTATATCACTAGGCGAGAGGCATCGTGACCACCTGTTCGCCAGCCGTGGAGAGCCTTTCGGAATTTCTCGATTGCGCTAGTGCTTCGAAAAGGTAATGAAAAGTGCGGGAATCCCAATTGGAACCAGTCAATACCGGCAGTACCACAGTGGAGTAGTGGAAAACTTCCTCGCGCATAGCGAGGAGCACGAAACAAACTGCACGGGAATGCTTCACACCCAGGCAGGACATTCAGAGAATACCGCTCACCAGATATACGGTGTATCCGCCCTTGATATGAAGAAATTGACGGCTAGCCAGCTTGAGCGATTCCGTCAGGCCTCCAAAACGTGGCATGAAGTACTTGGGCTGTTTGACGGGGAGCCGTGTTCTTACGAGAACGCCTACGAGCAGCTGCAAATGACTGCTAGTGCACTGGATACTAATGCATCAGCAGGGACCCATCCGATCGATGTCACAAGTCACATTTCGCGTCTTGAAATGACTCTTCAAACTCGCGTTGAGGTCCTGCACAACGCCATTCTCCATATCTCCGACTCTTTACTTGGGAAAAGGCGACTAAATGAATGGGTTGGTACCGAGGGATACGCCGTTCTGCCCGAGAAGAGAATCTGTCAACCTCCTTCGCTGCTGAAGCAATTGCAGATTTTTCTTAATAAAAGTGACGCGCATTTCAAGTCCCAGGAACAAGAAAAGGCAGTCGTGCATTGTGTAGCACCAAAGAGCGACGCCTTGGTCGTCCTGCCAACTGGTGCCGGGAAGTTGTTGACTTTCATGCTTCCCGCTTTCACTCACAAGACAAAGGTGATGGTTGTAGTCGTTCCACTTGTGGCTCTGCAGCTTGACCTTATCAAACGCTGCGAAGATGCAGGTATCCAAGCCTGTCAGTGGAATGCGCGGGATGTAGCCGGGGCACGTATTGTTGTCGCCAGCGCCGAGCATCTGTCTTCACCAGACTATCAATGTTTCCTTAGGGAACTAAAGGTCATGAATAAGCTGCATGCAATATTCGTGGACGAGTGCCATCTGGTTTTATTATGGCACAGTTTCAGAGAAGCCATGAAGTACTTGCGCGGTTTCATTCGTCCAGAACTCGTCAATGTGCCAGTTATCGCTCTAACGGCAACAGCCCCACCGTCCATTGAACAACAAATTACTTCCGCATGTGGATTGTCAGACTTCATCACTGTGCGTCAGAAAACGTCGAGACGGAACATCAGGTATGAATTTTACAACGTGAAGAGGCAAAATCTCAATCGTAAGGTGGACGAAATGCTTGACTATTTGCGTAACGTTTCCGGTACATCTCCCTCCAGAGCCATCACTTACGTGCAAACAAAAGATGAATGTGACTCGCTCTGTATGATGTTACAAACCCTGAACCCGGACATGCCTTGCTTCAAATATCATGCAGGTATGGAAAAGGATGACAGAAATGCAATGCAATCCGGCTGGGAAGATGAATCTAATGGACTTCCGCACGTCATGGTTGCAACGAAAGCATTTGGATGCGGCATTGACATCTCCACTGTTCGGATTGTCGTACATGCTGGTCTTCCAAGCACGCTCACTGAGTACGTGCAAGAAAGCGGACGTGCCGGTCGTGACGGCCAACCTGCCAAAAGTACTGTGCTTAATATTATCGATCAGTTCAATCATTCAGTTGAACCGCAATTGTCCGGTTTCGGTCCTGTACATGGGCTTACAGAAGCAGCTGGTGAGTGTCGTCGGTGGCTGGTGGACCTGTTCATGGACGGGTGTTCTGATCACCGACCTTGTCAAGAACGTGGGATGGAGGCTTGTGATATTTGTTCTTCCGAAGGAAGTGGAATACGTTTACGTAGACGTGCTTCCGAATTCCAAAACGAGGACACCTGCAGGAAAGAAGTTCAGATTCGACCTACAAGGAAGCGCGTGAACGCTCCAAAGAGGACAGAATCTCTGCAAACACCATCGAAAGTTGCGCATACTCCATCGGACACGGTTACGCCTTCTCGACGCCCTACTCCATCGGACACGGTTACGCCTCCTCGACGCCCTGGTAAGGACTCGCGAATGAAGGCGTGGAGCAGTTGCGCCTCTGAGACCTCGGCCAGTGCAAAAGACATATGCACTGGGTATTCTCCTCGCCTGACCAAGTTCTTTTGTCCTGTATGTAGTGTGAAGAAATCGTCTCTCGTGGAACACAAACCCAATGCCGATGAAAGGTATTGGGCATGCTACAACCGTCGTTGTTTACGATGCGGCCAGGAAGGACATGGCGTGAAACAATGTACGATGTTTCGGGGTATTGTAGGGGCATGTCGCTGTTGTGGTGTCCGCTTCTGTTTAGGGTCTATTGTGCACCCGGCGAAAACCTTTGGTCAGAACAACTGTCCTATCAAGAAGATTATTTCTATGGCTCTTCTAGTTTGGAATGATACAAACATGAGACAAGAGCTTCGTGATGCATTCCAGCATCTCTCTTCTGTGAGGACGGTACAAGAATTTGAAAAATGGATCCGTGGTAACGAGAACGACTCCGAAGCAGATAAATTTGCAGAAATCGAGGACCCCGGTCTATTCAGGGTCGCTCCATGGCTATTTCAGAATGTTCTAGGAATACGCATGTAGTTTTGGATGATTAATATTCAAGAGTGTTCTAGGAATAGTCACATAGCTTTGAATGATCACGTAAAGTGTAGAATTTCTCATTGGCATTTCTCCGCGTTGGACAGAAGACAAGAGGGCCCGGTATGCGATAGCTGTGCTATGAGTATCGATGTACAAGCAGATGTAACGAGCAATGATAGAGCAATGATCAACAGAATGGTATGGTCTTTGCTAGAAGATGAGATCAGTGGACTACCAAAAACAAGTAAACGCGCTTGCAAAGAGCCGTCGATTATATATGTTTTCATGAAGTTTTTATCTTCACTTCTGCAGATTTGCTTTCTTTGTTACAGGGGGGTCGCCATATAGTGCCATCTTTGTTAGTGTCAGCTCAAACCCCTAATCCCCCATTGAACACGAGCCTAAATCAATGCCATATAATCACATGCTTAATGCAATTGAACATTCCACTTCACTCGGACCCATATTTCCAACAATATGGAACACACCATACTACCGTGACTACCACACACTATGAGACTCCCACTCCCCCCTAACTTTCAAAACCCATGCGAAGAGGCCATCCCACAAAATCATATAGAAAATAGGCACAGCACTACAGGAGAGTACCTTCCCCCTCTCCGATCGCGACACCGAGCACCGCACTCCTCGTCGCTAACTCTGAGCTAATGAAGAAGTTCAATAAACTTCGAAACGTTCCCAACTGCACGCTAGTACTAGCCACCAATAGCAGCCAACCCCTATAACCTATATTCCCCCTAACCCCGCAGGTATACCCCGACCCGGTGTCCCAAGTGGGCACAGCCAATGGACGGGTGTCCTGGATGAAAGGAACGATTGCATGAAAGTCACAGTGTCAGGGCGAAGGCGTAGATGTGCGAGGTGATAGTTGTACGAATTCTGTAGCCAATGGACGGGTGTCCCAAGAGAGAATGGCCAATGGATGGGTGTCTCCAGAGGGAATGGCCAATGGATGGGTGTCTTAGATGGAAAGCAGCAGTCAAAAGAGAGAGAGCCAGGGAGTACAGTTTAAGGCCGGAAAAAGGGCATTCAAACCTGAAAGGCAGGAAGAGTGGGATTCAAAGTAGCCAACAGGTGAGTGCCATGTCAAGAATGATCATTACGAGGGCTGCGACAGGGATGAAACCAGCGATGAAACCTTCCATCCGACGAATAGGCCTTCCGTCCGAGATTCGGGACTTCCATCCGCCACGGATCGTGGGGAGTGTTTTGGCCCGTGCTTTGATATAATTTTTGCAGATATTTTATGGAGCCAGTAGGCCTTCCATCCCAGGAAGGCTCTGTCAACGGACGTGACTCTGCATTTGGGCACCTTACAAGTGCTTGCGGTGGTTGATTGTACGTTATTGCTGTAGAAAGTACGCCTCTGCATGATATTGTACGTTGCATATTGTGAAAACATTTGTGATGGTTTTAGTGGGGTTGGTATCATCTTGCTGCAGTTCATGCATTTCTTACTATACTTGAGAGTGTTTTACACGTATCAAGGGGCATCATGGAAGGTCTTTCTTTGCGGCCTTTTACACTACTGCAGCTTTGGTAGGGATACATCTTCCCAGTTGAGATCACGTTACAATGTGTTTGGTTCGCACGTTTATGTGTAGCCATAGCAGTTTGTCATCCGGAAAATGTGTACCTAAATCCTCCAAGTTCATGCTGCACATGTAATCCCCATGTTACGTCAGGGTACTGGTATGTACCGTGTGAACATTTTCCCTTCCTTTAACCCGTACACGTATGTTGAACAAACATGATACACCTTTTACATAAATGGGGGATCTTATTTGTTCATACAAGACAATTTGTGGTAAAGTTCTATAATTGTAACTACACTCTTCCACCGTAACATCGTCAAGTTAAAAGAAGTGAAATTGTTGTGATTCTTACATTTAGTATGATAATTTAATACATTCACTCATATCAGCTGGTATGTGTGGGATAGTTCTGTTTTTTTAATTCCTGCATGGACCAGTCCTTCGAATAATACGCAAGGGCATAGGCATATTGGCGCCACAATAGGATTTGTATTCTGTTTGCAGTGCGCCTAGTTTATGCCAACTAGTTTTTTTAATTTTTTAATTGTCCGTTGAGGGCGGTGGCTTATCCCTTAATAATAAATTTTAAAGCATCAGCAGTACGCAGTACGACTGCACAACCGCGTTCAGTAAATGAATGAACATGACGTAGTAATCATGTTTCTATAATGCGGGATGACGTGTAATGTTCGAATTGGTGATGAAAATATATGTCCTTAATGAAAATCGTACAGCCTTTGTTCGTGTAATATTTTGAAAAAATATTTCATATCGTGTTGGATTCAAATTGATTATGAAAATATACGGTACGTCCCAAATCACATGCGTACAGTTTTTGTGGGCTGAAAGACGGTGTGCGTCCCCCTCTCCCCCCCCCCCGCGCCGTAAAGTAGATGTATGCTGTAAAAATTGGCGACATACAATTGAAATCTGCAACATTTATTGACGTTTTTAATATTATTATAAAGGTGACCGACGCCGTCGCTGGTGTCCGACGCCTCTCCCACGAAAACGCAAAATTCGCGCCCCACCCCGTGACGCCCGTTGCGCCGTGAGCCTATGACTCGCGCTCGTGCTGTCAACACGTGCGCGTCACACCGCACGACTCCGCGTCCACAGCCGGCCCCTCCCAGCGCTGTAGAGTCGCGCCCCACCCCGTGACGCCCGCTGCATCGTGAGTCTATGGCACGCGCTCGCGCCGTCGACACGCGCGCGTCACACCGCACGACTCCGCGTCCACAGCTGGCCCCTCCCAGCGCTGTAGAGCCGCGCCCTTCCTCGCGGCCGCTGCGCCCCCCCACCTCCCCCATACGGTTGTTTTCAAATAATTTGCATATCCGAGCTATTTTGGCGTTGTCCAAAATGTAGGGCAACCCCCCTTCAGTTGTTCAATTATTCGAAGTCTGACAAGATGAGAGACGCGTCAGCGATTTTTTGTACCTAGCCGTCGAAACCTCCCCCACGGAGCACTGGGAGGCTTTTGGCCTTATGATCGGTATGTATATATGATATGTATGCAACTGTACCAGTATCGTTCTATCGTTCTTCTCGTCTTTGTCCAAGTTTTTCCATCACTCCTGTGACGTTGAAATCTCGCATCCGCTCCTGCAATGACCTTCAAACATTCAAGCCAACATGCCAATGAGTCGCCCGTGACACTCTTCAGACACTCTTCTCCCACGTCCGTCCCTCTTCCACCCTTTCCTTTCTCCCTCGTCCCTCGATACAGCGTCCCGCTCGTCCGTCCCTCTTCCACCCTTTCCCTTCTCCCTCGTCCCTCGATACAGCGTCCCGCTCGCTGCCCGCACACATGCCTTACGAATGATAGGTTGCCCATGTCCCATTCGCGATGCTCTATGCAGGTGGCGTGAACGCCACCTGTTCAGGTCGAACCCTTCCATCTCGCTCGTACTGTAGCGCGGCGACGGCCGCATCTGCACTCTCGGTTCAAACTCTACCGACACCACCCGTTTCGCTCACTTTGAAACACGCAAAAAAAATTTCCTGAACGACAAACACATGATGAGCACGCATTACAAACAACTAAAGCCTTTTCCTCCCACCTTGGTCCCACGTCTCACTCCCTTCCG